GAAGGGGAAAGAATATAAAAGCCACTCTTCCACCCTCCCAAAAAAACGCATGGAGAGCTGGTTTCTTAAGCAATTAGTTAGGAATTCAGTGCCAACTAGCTGCTCCCAACTGAAAACAAGCTTAAATAGGAGACACAAATGGAGGAGAAAAATTAACAGATTAATAGAGTTGGAAGGGACCTTGTAGGTCATCTAGTCCAACCCCCTGCTCAAGGAGACCCTACACCATTTTTGACAGAGGGCAGTCCAGTCTCTTCTTGAAAGCCTCCAGTGATGAAGCTCCCACAACTTCTGAAGACAACTTCTGTTCCATCGGTTGATTGTTCTCATTGTCAGAAAATTTGTCCTTGTTTCCAGGTTGACTCTCTCGTTGGTCAGTTTCCGTCCATTATTCCTTGTCTGGCCTTCAGGTGCCTTGGAAAACAGGTTGACTCCCTCCTCTCTGTGACAGTTCCTCAAATATTGGAAGACTGCCATCATGTCTCCCCTGGTCCTTCTCTTCACTAGACTAGCCATGCCTAGTCCCCGCAACCGTTCATCGTATGTTTTAGCCTCCAGTCCCCTAATCATCTTGGTTGCTCTTCTCTGCACTTTATTCTAGAGTCTCAACATCTTTTTCACAGTGTGGTGACCAAAATTATTTGCAGTATTTTAGGCGTGGTCTTACTTTGGCTTTATAGAATCTATTTCCAAACACTGCAATCCAAGGGAGGAGATGTCTGGATGATCCTGTAAAAACCACTGAATTCAAATTCTTGAATCTTGACTTTAGATTGATATAACCAGCGGAAAAGCCTTCAGCTGTGCTGGATAATTTAGAAGGTATCTTGTCAAGTAATCTTATATACAGTCCCAACAACAATGGTAATCAATTCTACAGTCAACTCATCCAACCTAAGCAAAGTGTTATAGAATATTAAGCCGAGCTCAAAAAGTCCTAAGATAGGAAAGGACTTTTTATCATGTTTGTTATTGGGTTAACGGCTGTAAGGAAATTTAAGATGAGGTGTTAACTTCTCAGGGGTTCCCCCCCCCCACACACTTCTTAATAAATATATTACCTTCAAAGATTCAAAGCACGGCACTCGGTGGGCAAGCTTAGGCCAGACTTTTTCCTCGAAGAACTCAGGATCTACTTCCAAATTTTCAATATCTGGCTCTTCTTTCTGAAAAGTAAATGCAGACATTATAACTCTTATCAACAGCATAGATACCCACAAAGATTAAGAGTATTCGATCTGATTTGTACCGTAGTGCTCGCCTTACAACCGCAATTGGGAATAGAATGTCTGTCACTAAGCAAGGTGGACGTTAAGTGAGGCTCACCCAATTTTACAACCTTTTCTGCTGCAGTTGTTAGGCTAATCTGGCTCCCGCTGTTGATTTTGTTCGCCGGAAGGCAGCTGGAAAGGACTCCAAGATTCCGCAACTATCATGTACACATGCCAGTTGCCAAGTCAAGTGTATTTTCTTCACATAACCACAGGGATGGTCATAAGTTATTTTTTTCGGCACTATCATAATTTTGAACAGTCGCTAAACAAGGGGTTGTAAGTCGAGGACTACCTGAATCTCCTAGAAAAGCAGTCCTTTTAAGGTCATCTCAAAAGGATAAAAACGAACTTAAGGAGCCACAGTGGCGCAGTGGTTAAAATGCAGTACTGCAGGCTACTTCTGCTGACTGCCGGCTGCCTACAATTTGGCCGTTCAAATCTCCCCAGGCCAAGGTCGACTCAGCCTTCCAGGTGGGTAAAAAGTGGAGCCAGATTGTTGGGGGCAAGAGGCTGACTCTGTAAACCGCTTACAGAGGGCTGTAAAGCACTGTGAAGCGGCATATAAGTCTATGTGCCATTGCTAAGAAACAGTAGTGAAGCCTGAACCAGCAGCATGAAGTTTCAATGGGTTTTGAGTATACTGAAAATTGAAAACAAAATCCAGGTTGCTCAAGAATGGTACTTACACTATGAGTTGAAATTCAGAGCTTAGATTTAAAGTCCTGCTGAAACACAATAGTTCTGGCATTCGCTTGATGTCTAGTGTTAGAACTTCTATTATTGTGAAACTACTTATTATTAAATTGGGACACTTAAGAAGATGAAGGGCGTTAGAGAAGTCTTGATTCTTACCAGGCCCACACTAGATACACCTGTCACTTTGACCCTAAAGAATCTTTGCAAACCTGCTAGAAAACTGTCCCAAAGCCCTGTTAAACTTACTTCTGTTGGGCTTAAGCCTCCAAGATAATTGCCACCCAAACCTTCTCTTCGGAAATAGGCTCCAGTTGTGTCAATGAGGAATGGGGACTCCAAGCCAGGTCCTTCAGGGCAATGCCAGACATAGACATATCTGGGAGCGAAGGGATAAACACAGGCGTGTCCAAACTTGGGAACTTTTAAGTCTTGTGGACTTCAACTCCCAGAATTCCCCAGCCGGGATAAGGAGAGGCTTTTGCGATATTTCATGTCCACATATTTGCTTATGAGTTGGAAAGAGAGCAAGAATTGAAGCGAACAGAGGCAAAAGCGGCAATAATACCACAAGATACAAGAATTTGTACCTTGTTAGTTTCACATGCTAACACTTGAGCATCATTTGACTTGTGCTAATATATAAACTTGTCTTGAACCAACAGTTTTGCGTTTGTCTATTCTGTGGCTAAGTGAATAAGACGCTGAAGCTTGTCGATCAGAAAGGTCGGCGGTTCGGCGGTTCGAATCCCTAGCGCCGCGTAATGGAGTGAGCCCCCGTTACTTGTCCCAGCTTCTGCCAACCTAGCAGTTCAAAAGCATGTAAAAAATGCATGTAGAAAAATAGGGACCACCTTTAGTGGGAAGATAACAGCGTTCTGTGCGCCTTTGGCGTTTAGTCATGCCGACCACATGACCATGGAGACATCTTCGGATAGCGCCGGCTCTTCAGAGATCAGCACTGCCCCTAGAGTCAGGAACGACTAGCACATATGTGTGAGGGGAATATTTACCTTTACCTATTCTGGTACGGTTTATTCTGGTCGCTCTTCTCTCAAAGGCTACTTTCCTGGCATTGCATCCTTAGATCTTTTCAATTTCAAAGGCCAGGACAGGGGTGAAATTCAGCAGGTTCTGACCGGTTCTGGAGAACTGGTAGCAGAAATTTTGAGTAGTTTGGAGAACCGGCAAATACCACCTCTGGCTGGCCCCAGAGTGGGATGGAAATTTTGCACTATCCTTCCCCTGCCACTAAGCCACGCTCACTAAGCCATGCCCACAGAACCGGTAGTAAAAAAAATGAATCTCACCACTGGGATTAAATTTGTCAAAAGAGAAGCATAAAAAGATCAGCAGATACTATAAACTGAACTGTATGCAAGTCATCTATTTTAGGCACAATCCACAGCATATTTAGGGGAGTGCAGGCCAAAGATGATAAGTTATTTAGCTAAAGGAGGAGGAAATTAAAACGTATCCTGAGCAGCAGCTGAGAAATGTAGTAGAAACTGCATTCCTTAAACTCCAATTGGAAACACACGGATCTCCACATCTTTAAAGGGCTTAAATGCATGCCACCTTAATTGGATGGCTGGAGTCACACAATATGCTACGCCAGGAACCCCAATTTAGAAACCTCAACAACTCAGTTTAAACAATATAATAAACCAAGTTTTGTTCTTCGGGTCAACAAAATACATGTTGTACAGGGAATGGAATTTAACGTCACCTTTTCTTGGGTTCTACTGGAAGCTTGATCCCTGATAGAAAGTTTTCGGACGGAGCCCCAATGCCAGCCATCTCGGCCACTCTGCCTGACCAGGCTCCTGCCGCATTCACCACTATAGAACAGTCAACCTTGGCACGTTCAAAACCTTCGGGCAGCTGGACCTAGGAGGTTAAGGACCACAAAAGAACAGGTAAGTTTATACCAAGCAGTTAGATGGTCCACTGATACCTCTCCCAACAGGAAAGCAAAAAGGGAAGAACAAATGAAACACTTGCTCTGCAGCTAATAAAAAGTTGATGTTTCGTGTTGGATTTCCCTTGCAGCCTTCCTTCCTCCCTTTCCTGTCCCAAGAGAGTTCAAAACAAATCTCAGGAAACTTTAAGGACCACTGTCCAGAAAGCATCCCCCTGAATGAATTTCCTAGGTCTTCCCCCATGCATCGGGCATAATTAAAGAATAGATACTGTCCCCTCCCCCCCCCCTTGTGTCACAGGTCATGTTAGCCAACTAAACAGATGATGAACTTCTCGGCACTCCCTCCTGCGGTTGTCAGGGCGTGCTGACCCCCTCACTGGCCCACGAACTGAGAGCCTTGCAGGGGCAAAACTACCCAAGCCCAAGATGTACTCCATGACCCCCAAGAAGATGAAGGAACTGAGGAAGGACATCGACAAGAAAACTAGCCAGGGGCTTCAGCTAGCCAGCTAAAGCCTGAGTAGCAGCCCCAGTCCTGTTCAAGGAGAAGGATGGGACAATGAGGTTATGCACAGAATTTAGGGGGATCAATGGGATGTGCATGGAGAACACGTACCACTTCCCCCCAAAAGTATGGCAATTAAGAAACAAAGCAAGAAAAATATGGCTTCAGCTAGAATCATTTTGAGAGTTGACACCGGTTGTTTCTTATTGTAATCTCATCTTATCTACTGTACATACACATATACATACACACAGAAACATATACAGGCAGTCCCTGACTTAGGACAGTTCATTTAGTGACTGTGAAAAGTGAAAAATGTGACTTACATTCTTCAGTTACGATCTTTGCAGCATCCCCATGAACATGTGATCAGAATCCAGGTGCTTGGCAAGTGGTTCCTATTTATGACCGTTGCTGTGTCCCAAGGTCACGCGATCCCCTTTTGCGACCTTCCGACATGCAAAGTCAATGGGGAAGCCAGATTCACTTAACATCCGGGTTACTACTTTATCAACTGCAGTGATTCACTTAAGAACTGTGGCAAGAAAGGTTGTAAAATGGGACAAAACTCACTTTAACAGGTGTTTCACTTAACAACAGAAATTCTGAGCTCAATTGTGGTCGTTAAGTGGAAGACTACCTATATGCACTGGTTTAATAATGTAAGTTGCTCACGATATATATTATGAGTGGAGTGGCCTTACAGTTTCCATAAGTCAATCAATGATGATACAAATTGAACTTTGGTGCCGAATCAGTGAGCCTTAACCTTAATTATAATTCTATCGGCAGCAATAAACAGACCGGTCCTGGATTTGCAAACCCACAATTGAGCCCAAAATTTCTGTTGCTCAGCAACAGAGTGAGGTGAGCTTTGTCCCATTTTACAACCTTTCTTGCTACAGTTGCTAAGTGAATCACTGCAGCTATTACATTAGTAACTCAGTTGTTCGGGGAATCTGACTTCCCCATTGACTATGTTTGTCAGAATGTCGCAAAAGGGGACCCTGGAACATTGCAACCGTCATAAATATGAACCAGTTGCCAAGCATCCGAATTTTGAACACGTGACCCTGGGGATGCTTCAATGCTTATGAGTGAAAACCGGTTCCTAAGTCACTTTTATGCAGTGCCGTTGTAACTTCAAACGGTCACTGAATGAATGGTGGTAGATCAAGGACTTCCTACAATGATTTGTTATGGTGTTCGTATTGTTTTGCCTTTCAGAATGCTTGGCGTCTTGTTCCCTTGAGCCGTTGACGAAGAAAGCATCCAAGAGGAAAGCAAAATTATGTAAGATAGGCAGATAATATATCATCCTCTTTTAACGACTCCATAATCCCTTGCTGGGTGGAACTAAATGAAGCCGAGTGTTCAGTGGCCGGATACCCTTCCTGTCGCCAATGTGGTGTTTTATTCGGTGGATATATTCTCAGCGTGCCCAGAGAGAGAAATATCTGCCTCTACCTAGGATTGAACCCACAGCCTTCTGATTGTGAGGCACCACCTCTAGCCACCGCACCACTCGTAGGCAGAAAATTATGATTTTATGTCATTCACTAGAGCAGAGGTCTTCAAACTTGGCAACTTTAAGACATTGGACTTCAACTCTTCAACAGTTGAAGTCCACAAGTCTTAAAATTGCCAAGTTTGGGGACCCCTGCGCTAGAGACATAATTGAGCCCTAAAATAATGACTCACGTTTACAGATCGAATACACAAGAGTTTACTCTGCTGATCTCTAGACTTCATTTCATAGGAAACCGAGTTGAAAGCTGTAGAAGAAGAGAGAGAGATGGAGGAGACGGTAAAGCAACTGCCGTTGATTCATTCCTGAAATATAAATATTTTTTAAAAAAACTTCCTTTGCTATTTATAATGTATTTATTTAAAACATATAACCCATTCTATCAGATTACCAGGTTTTATGGCATGAATCAAACCCTAGCCGTAAAATGTTCCTCTTAGAAATGTTATTTAAAATAATAATAATAATACCCCCCCCCAAATCAATCAATCAATCAATCAAGGCTACTGAAATGCTTTAAGTCTTTAGAATGGGGTGGGGGTGGAGGTTAGGTCAAATTATAATAGTTTCAACACTAAATGTGGGTCTTAGGATATTTTGAACTTTCTCTCCTTCCTAACTAAATGGCTCAAATTTGGCAAAGTGTCTTAGCAAATCTTAATTATCTTTTGCATCCCAATTATCTTATTAACCTATGTTCAGGTTAAAACTCCAATATTGGTGCCAGGCTGGGGGGGGGACTTCTATGGTAAAAAGAAGATTTTTCTCCCCATAGTAATGACAGTTTTAGAATTAGAATTAGAATAGAATTAGAATAGAATAGGAATAGAATCTGAAAGGGATCTTGGAGGACTTCTAGTCCTGCCCCCTGCTGAAGCAGGAGAACCTATACCATCTCAGACAAGCGACTGTCTTGTCTCTTCTTAAAAATCTCCAGTGATGGAGCATCCATGATTGCTGGAGGCAAGTTGTTCCACTGGTTAATTATTCTCACTGTCAGGAAGTTACTCCTCCATTCCAGGTTGTTTCTCTCTTTGAATAGTTTCCAACTGACTCCAAGTATAGAGAATACTGTTTGATTCAACCCATTAGACTGTCACCAACTCGGTTCCAGGTATTATACCTTAGAAAATATTTCTGTTGGCAATAAAGCAACGTACTGACTACTGCAGGAAGCACAAAGAAAAACGCTTACATGTCACTTCTCCGTTATACTGGAGCGTGCCTAGAGAGATGGCTTTTTTCTTGAAAGCATTGAGCAGAGTCCAGGGATCAAACCAGCCCTCATTTTCCAAGCCTGAAGGAAAAGTCAGGAGAGGATACAAGAAAAATACTAGGAATGCAAGCCTTGGCATTTAAACATAACAGCAAATTGGACATAGGCGAACTCCATAAGAATTCTAAGGTGCAATGTAATATAACTGTTCTTATCTGCAGGTTTTGAATGCTTGTGCTTGATCACGGACTTAAATATGGATGAATTAATGAATAATTGGACTATGCAGCCTTGGCTAGGGAAATAATTAGCAGACGGGATGACACCAGAGGCCTGGGCTCAATATATAACACCAAGATCTCAAAGAACACATCCCAGTTGCAAATTCAACAGAGGGAAGTTTGTGTAAAGCAGAATTTCCTCTATTAACTAGTAAGGATTTGGGAAGAGTGAAAGCTACGAAGCCTCAAAATGGTACCGTATTTTTCGGAGTATTTGATGCACTGGAGTATAAGATGCAGCAAGGTTTTGAAGAGGCAAATTTTTTTTAAAAAAGTTTTTGCATTCCACAAACGTCCCAAAAACAGCCCGTTTTTCGTGAAAACGGGCCCGTTTTTTCCCCCCAAGAAAAGGGCATGAATATCCTTTAGAAGGCTTGTAGAGTGCTCCTGAGGGGTGGGATGGGGCCAAAAAGGAGCAAAAAACAGCCCATTTTTCGTGAAAACATGCCTGTTTTTTGTCAAAAAAAAAGGGCATGGATACCCTTTAGGAGGCTTATAGAGTGCTCCTGGGGGCGGGAGGGGGGGGGAATTCTGCCCTCCCCAGCCCCCAGCTTTCTGAAAGCCTCTTACAAGCTATTTTGGTGAAGGGGCGGGGTTTCGGGAAGCAAAACATGCTGTATTCAGTGTATAAGACGCACCCAGATTTTCAGCCTGTTTTTTGAGGGGAAAAGGTGCGTCTTATTCTCTGAAAAATACGGTAATTGCTCCAGTTGAATTGGGAACTGAAAAACCAGGTGACTGAACTACTATCTGCAGGCAGACTGCAAGTAGGAAAACAAAATCGGCTTTCCAGTTTTGGATCCCAAGTGATTTCAGCCTACCAAAATAGATCCTGATCCTTGTCTTTGCCCTGCAATTGTGTAGTCAAAATAGTGATGCTGCCATTTTGCTCTAGGGGAGATACAGAACTAGCAGTTGGTACCATAAGAAGCCAGAGCTACGCCATCTGTGTTCAGCCATGGGAATTTCTTTGTCAGTTGTGCTGGTGAAAGCAGAGAGACAGCTACTCCTTCCTGCCTAATAAAGGATAAAATAAAAATTAGACAACTTTCATTACAACCTTTAGGAATTCAGAATATTAAAAATATTAATTTTTAATCAATGAGATCAATTTTTTAAAAAGGCCCAAATCGGAAGTTCTACTGAAAATCTACAAGCCGGAAAAGGTATTTCTCCAAAATGGACAATTTGGCAGATGAAAGCTCCATCAATTCTGCTTGTGAAGCCTGGCAGGCAACTTCATTAAATCATGGCGGACTAATAAGAGCGGCTGCCAACCTTTTGGGCACCTGGCTCCAGTTCCGTAGAGCGGTTTTTCTGCGGACCGTTTTCTGGCATGCTGTCGCCCGGTGCCAGGCCATGGACTAGGGGTGGTTGGGGAACTCTGGACTGACAGGTTCATTGACGCAGTCTGAAATTAGGACAGTGGTAGGTTGCAGGCGGTACGTCCCGGTACGGGAGTACCGGAGCCTGCCCGGAGCACCGGGTACCGTTCCGGTACGGTGCTCTGGAGGGCCCACCCGCCTGAGCTCCTTACCTGTCCTTTAAGCCTTTGGTGCTTCCACGCATGCGCAGGCCGCATATGGCGTCTGCGCGATGCTCCGCCAAGCACCTGGAGCATTGCGGAGGCTTGCGGAAGCGTCGCAGGCAAGTACGGTGCATGTGCGCGCACCACATGCGTCCATGTGGGTGACGCTGGGCCCGTTCCAACCAGCAAGGATCCGGAACCCACCACTGAAGTAGGACCATGATGGGGAACTTTGCATGCAGAGTCTTCACTGCTGGCACGCGTGCTATTGCCCAGGGTCATATGTCCGTGGCGTTTCTTTCGTGAGCTTCTGTTTCCCTACAAACGACGAAACAGAAGCTCACGAAGGAAAAAGATCTTACCTCTTGCCGGGCTGCCAGTGTTGGGATTCCCCGCTTCCCACCAGCCAGCTGGTCTTTGGGTCTCTGCTGCGCATGCACAAACATGTGCCCATGTCTGCACACTTGCACATGTCCATGCATGCACTTGTCCGCACATGCATGTGCGTGCAGGTATTTGCACGTGTGCACCTTCCAGTTTGGTCATGCACACAGGCAGAGTTTGGGCACTGGGTGTCTTAAAAGGTTTGCCATCCCTGATCTAGGAACTCCTTTGGGTCTCCTCATGCCACTTCTTCCCCACAAGATGCGGGTTTCCTGCTTTGTTATTTTAGGAGGCCTGAGATACCACTGCTGCATTCCTTTTTTTTTTTGCAATCTGTTTTTTTTAAAACAACAACAACAACAATATATATAAAAAAATGATCTCATCCATTACATACAGCATGTCGTTTGGTTACAAGTGTTTTTGCATCCATATTCTCAATTACATATACAATCACAGAATTTTCATCTATTATAACTAAATACCTCACTTTCATTGTACAATGTATATCCAATTAGGATTAATTTTTTTTTCAATAAACCTAATTTCCTTACATTGATTGTCTGTTTAATAACAATATACCTTTATATAATCACAGATCCCGATATGAAAG